GGGACTCACTCCTTTGTGGAGTGGACTGTTTACTGCTAATTTTGGATAACTATGTGGAATCCTAAAGGGACCTGAGATTTCACAATAGGCCCAATTTCTGTATCTTCACCCTCAGTTCTGTGCTTCTCTCCAGCAGTCTGATACGAGTCTGATATCTGCTTGGCCCTTAGGCTTAGTGAAAAGGCGTTAAGTGTCTTGATTTTGCTGACTGGGTTAATGGTCATGTTAACCCCTTTCTGCCCCACCTCTTTGTGTGAGTCAGGGTATAAACTTGTGATGTCTTCTTCAGGTTTTCAATTCTTTTCCTCCATGTATGTCACCCAAGTCTCTGGGTTCCTTTTTCTTTTGTACTTAGTTTACAAATTCCTTAATCTTACGATCTTGCCCCAACTCTAACTCTGGAAGTTTAACATTTAGTATGAGATATAAAATATTTTTTTAATTCTTTATTTACTTTTTTCCTCTCTCCATCTTCCTTTATATTCCCTACATTCCCTTGAGATGCATTGACTAATTCTCATGAGTTCTGACTTCACTTAAATGTAATCCTGGAACATTTCAGCCTATGTTTTATATAACTAGATTATGAAAATTCCAGAAATCTGGCAGTTTTTCAAGAATGGCCTTTGTTTACAAATCTATCAAATGTAATGAAATTTTTGTTGCTTTAGTAAGTTCAAAAGGATCTCAGCCTTTTCCCCAATCCTTCCATTTTGAATCAAGCACTACCCTATAAAAAGCTCTTTTGTTCATATAAGTTATTCTCATACTATTCTTACTCTCCATTAACTCATTTTATTCATACATATTTTTAAATTTTGCTCTCTCCTTCCCTTATTGATTCTAATAAAAACAAGTTCGGATCTAGCTCATTACTTCTGTCTCCTACTCACAACATTATGCTCTTAGAGTGTTTCTGGAATGTTGGGGCACAAAGACATCATTCCACGCCCCTCTGAGTTCTTCTCAGCTTGGATAAGTAATCAACATACCACCAGACAAGTGAGTAAAGGAAAGATGGTCCATGTAATTACAAACATATGGAGAATTTATACAGCTGCAAATCTAAAGAATAATCTAGTAGAACAAGAATATTTATACTATATTTGGAACCTAGAGCATCAAAGACATTTCTGGGAGACATTACATGCCACACAAGAGGGGGTAACCTCACCCTTATTCTGAGAATAAAGATCAGATTTTTATATAGAGACAATATGCTTACTGATACATCTCAAACTGGATGAGAACCTCAAGCTACATTCTTCTAAGTCAAAAAGGGCAGCACAGTGATCAGGGAGTGGGAAAGGACTTAGACAAGAACAAGTTTCTCCCAGTCTTCAGGAAGCTTACTGCCCTCAAACAAAACAATCTCCATCTTTAAGTCAAGGCAACAGACCTCCACAGGCTCACAAGTCCTTGACTGACCTCTATTTCCCATTGCAAGGTAACATGGGGCCTACTTGGCACTGACTTCAGGAAAGTCTGTCTGACCCTTTTTTGGAGCTGATGTCACAGTAACATTGATAACTTCCAGTTTCTTTGTTTTAACTTAGTAGAACGTAGACTGGAAAAAAAACTATACTAAAAAGCCAGGTGATTTAGTCTATACCTTTTCAGTTCAACTGAGCTAGTTGGATTGAAAGCAATGGTTATTAACAAATGTTTAACAGAGTCCATTCTGTGGGATAAATGATGTCTCACTTGCAAACCTTGGTCTGCTCCAAGGATTAGATTCACCCAGTATTTAGGTTGGAGCCAGATCACTTGAGGCAATCTAACAAAATTTATTTCCAGCTGTGCCAGTGCTTAACTCAAATTATTTACTCCCTGTGAATCCATTTTTAACCTTAAAGACCAAATTTACTTTACCCAAAGACACTGGATTTGCTTTACCTAGAAATATTTTTTTATGGGACCTCACTGGTGGTGAAACCATTTAGGACACAGCACTGCAAGCTAGCCCCAACCACTTCAGTGTAAGTTTCATCTCAAGTTCGATTTCCGGCTCAAGAGGTGACCTACATGGCACAGCAGACCTCTCTTGTCGCTCCTGCTGCTCCCTTCAGCAGTGTACTTTGTTGACCTGCCTATGCTGCTCCCCACTCTGTCTCTGGTGAATCCTCTCATTGCCCCTACATCTCTGGCCTGTACCCCAATTCTGTATGCATAAATAAATAATAAATTTTGGGAAAAAGTTTATGCAATTAGAAAATGTAAGCTCAAGAGAAGATTGATTTTGCATTTCTATGTGCCCAGAAAAGGACCTGGCATGTGGCAGTCAAGCAATAATTATCGGTGAAAGAAAGAATGGATGGTAGGTGTATAGGTAGTGATCCAGAAGGTAGAGCAAATGAGTTTACTTTGCAAAATAAAGCCAAGTCATTACACCTAATTTCTTATATTCTTATGCTCAATTTCTTATTGTTTTCATAAATTGTAGCTTGTGAATAACACTGATTTATTTAAGGTAAAGTAAGTTGATGAAAAAACTGACTATCTTAAAAAACTTAAAAACTTTTTATAAATAAAACTTAATGTGGCCCTCCCTGGTGGTGCAGCGGGTTAAAGCACAGCACTAAGAAGCTAAAGCCACTTCCGCATGAGTTCGATTCCCATCTGCCCTGGAGGTAACCACATGGCGCGGCAGACCTCTCCTGACCCGCCCGCTGCTCCCCTCAGCAGTGTGCTTTGTCGGTCAGCCTGTTCTGCTCCCCACTCTGTCTTGGTGAAGCCTCTCACCGCCCCTAAGCCTCTGGCCTGTACCCCAGTTCTGTATGCACAAATAAATAAATCTTAAAAAAAAAAAAACTTAAATGAAAATACTAACATCTTCCTCCTAGTTACCATAGAGTGGGAATGAAATCATTTACATAAAAGGAATCTCGAGTCGGCAGTAGGAGTTGCCTCATGTCATATTTGAAAAGGGAGTTGAGTGTAGGACTGAGTTAGACTGAGGTGTTCCACTATCCGTGGAGTGAAACAGAAACTACATCGCTGACTGGCTGGCCCTGTTCCAACATCTTGTCAAAAAAATTTGGTCCTCCAGACTAACCAAAGTTGTCATGCTAGACAAAAAAGCATTATATTCTGGCTAATGATTGAAACAATTTCATGGAGGAAGGTCGACAACCTGCATGTGTAGTTGGAAATTAACTCATCTGCATGTACCTGGACATATCCCAACCTAGAATAAGCTCCCATGCTGCTATCCTTCTCCCCATCTCGTGGCCTACCCTTTAATTCCTTCTCCCATCTTCCCTCAAGGACAGGCTAATTTTTCCTTTCCAGCACTAACTCCCTCATGGCTGAACCTCTAATAAAGCCTTGCTTGGTTCAGTTACTCCTGGTGTGCTCTGGTGAATGCTTTTCCAAAACAAAGGACAGGTTCTTTTGGGTCAGGACCTGTAATAGCAGTATGGAATAATGGTTAAGCTGCAAACTCTAGCTGTCCTAACTAATGAAAACAAATTCCAGCTCTTCCGCTTTCTAGATCTCTGTTCCCACATTAGTAGCTTTCTATATTTGTTTTCCAATCTACAAAACATAAACCAAGCCTACTTCACAACTTCCTAAGTTAATGCACATAAAGCACTTAGAGTAAGTTCAGTGGGAAGCACTACACAAGTGTTTACTATTATTACTAACTGCATCTTGCACTCCTATCACAGTATCAGAAAAATATAGAATTTTCGTTGGAAATGTAAAGGCTGCCTCTCACTTTGATCTTTAGGCACCAAACGACAAAGGGTCTCTCTTAGAATAAAGTATTCCTAGGATCTTCTCTATTAGCCTTCTTTCTTGTACTGAAGTAAAACAAGTCCCCTCCCCCTCTCCCACCCCAGGGCCTAGAGTAGTCATCCACTGATATTTTCATATGCCTGAAAGTGCAAAATGTCTCTGTCAGGGATATTATGTAGATTTGTCAAAATCTAATTGCACATATTCTGTAGAGCAATCACTTGATTTATAGGAAGTATATGTGTGCTGTGTGCACTCCGATGTATGTGAGCACATACTCACTGCTGTGCTGTAATTAAAAAAAAGCAATCTAAATGTACATGATAGGTGTGAAATTTTTAAAAATTAGTCATAAAGTCTTTGACACTACTATAAAAGGATGAAGTCTATGTCTCCTGAATACAAGTTGGTTTGTGATTACTATGACCCATGGAGTTCAACAGAAGTGATACCATAGGGACTTTCAAGACTAGACTAGAAAAGGTTATGCAGCTTCTGCCTGGTTCTCTCAGAGCACTCACCATTATTTATTCATTTGTATTGTATTATCTTATATTGCGGTAATATTGGTTTACTATACTGTACATAATTTAGGAGTATAAATGCACAGCTCTTCAAATGTGTTTCTATACCACACATAGTCTACTGGGCCTCCTCTGTCTATTGCTCCTCACCTCACATACTCACTCTCCTTATAGACTTGATTTTATAGTTAGATTTCTAGGGTTTCTTTCAGTTTACCTTTGTCTGTTCTTTTGTTTTGTTACTTTGTATTTTATATATGAATAAAATCATAGAGAATACAATTCTCTTTCTGACTTATTTTCCTCCAATTCTATCTACATTGTCATGAATAGAAAAGCTTCCTCTTTTTATAGCTGAGTAGTATTCCACTGTCTATACATAGCATATCTTCTTAATCCATTTATCTGTTGTTGAGCACTTGTTTCCATACCTGACTGTTGTAAATAGTGCTTCAAGCATATATGATCATATGTAGCTCTTCAAATACAAATAATACAAAAACAATACTTTGTTTTGGATACTTAGGAGAAAGATTACTGGTTCATATAGTAGATTTTTAATTTTTTTCAAAACCTCCATATTGTTTCCCATAAGGGTTAGATCATTTTATATTCCCATTAACAATGTATGAGATTTCCTTTTTCTCCAAATCCTCATAAACTACTTGTTGTTTCTGGTCTTTTTGATATGGGTCATTCTCACAGATGTGAGGTAATATCTCATCATGGCTTTGATTGACTTGAAGACAATAAAGTTTTTTTTTTTTTCTGCTAAGTTTAGTCCATTCATAATATTAAGGGTATTAATACATGGGGGCTTGCTGGCATTGCTTTTATTGGATTTCTGGTTCTATTTCATTGTTCTGTTTTGTGGTTTTCTTCTCTTTAGATAGGTGACTCATTTAAACTTTTCATATAGAGAAGTCTAATGTTGGCAAATTCCTTCAGCTTTTTATAGGTCCAGGAAGGCCTTTATTTCTCCCTCATATTTGAAAGCCTTGCATAATATAGTATTCTTGCATGGCAGTTTCCACCTTTGAGTATTTTGAGTATGTCATGTACTCTCCTAGCACATTGAGTTTTTCCACAGAATGTTTAATACTCATTAAGTCTGAAGTTTCATGTGTGTCTTGGTATAGGGCTCACTGCATTTAGGTAATCCAATATTCTTTAAGCTTCATGGACTTATATATTTGGTTCTTTCCCCAGTTTGCTACTATTATTTCTTTGAATAATATTATTTCTTTGCCTTCTCTCTCTTCTTTTGCTGCCATCCTAATGGAGTCAGGTACTTCTTGATATGGTTTTCATGTTTTAGTATTTGTTTCTCTTCTCACATCTTTGTGTTACTATGTGAAGGTCATTGACTTGATCTTCCATAGCTTTCTTTAGAGTTTTGATCTCATTTACATCCAAAAATGGTTATTTTTTTATTTAAAGCTTTCATCTCTACCTTCTGTAGAAGATTTAATAGCCAGGGATTTATACTTGAGCTTTTGTTTGATTTTACTTCTGTGCTCTGAGCTCATTAATTTGTTTTTCTGAATTTTGTTGTTTCTTTGGTTAGCTTCCCTCTGTGGTATTACTTTGACTTGCCTTCTGCATTTTCTTCTCCTTGATTTTACTTAATATAGTAATTCTGAACTCTGTACCATAGGGAGATATAACCTTCCCATTCTTGTAATTTGATTCTGGAGAGTTGTTCTCACCTTATGATGTGTTCCCTCCAGATCTTCGTATGTTTCTACTTCTTTTGGTGTGCTCATTTTGCTACTTTAAATTTCTTTGCTTAAAAAAACAAACAAACAAACAAACAAACTGAGTAGCAATAATTAGAGTTGAACTACTTTTACTTTTCTTGCAGGTGGTATTGTGAATTTATTTGACTTGCGGGGCCTTTGTTAGTTCCCGAAGGACTTAGATTTATTTTGCAGTTACTGAGTCAGCAAGGGAAAGGATGGAGTTAAGAGTAGTCCAGTTGTTAGTGGGATTATGCTGGGATGGGGTAACCTGGCTCAGTTCGTTGCATTGCCAGTGTCTCTTCTCTGAAATTCCAGACCTAAGACTTGGCAGTTTATGTTGTCAGTGTACTTTTTATATAGGTTAATACCAGCCCTAGGAAGCTGTGGGGGATGTGCAGAAAGTGATGTCTACAGTGACTTCTCTGTTTTTTTCCTTACCAGGGATTTGGGGTGTTAAATGTTTTTTCTTGGGAGTGAAACAAGGAAACTCCTTCTTCACCATCTTGGTAATTTCATATTTGGGGGCACTCCTCTTTAGAGCTCTCAGTCGTTACGTAAAAAATCCAAGTACTTTGAGACAGTCATGCTGGTGAAGAGCAGACCACATGGACAAATAGGTTCTCAAAATAACAACAGGCATCAACTACCAAGCATGTGAGTGAAAAATACATTCCAATGATTCCATTACCCAGCTGTTGAGTGACCCCAGCTACTGTTCTGCACATTATGGATCAGACAATCATCCTCATTGTGTTCTGTCTAGATTCCTAACACAGAGAGAAAGCATAACAAAATGGTATTTCAAATGACTATGTATCAGAGTATATTTTTAATCAACATAGGTAACCAGCATAGGACATTAGTAAATAAAATATGATATGACATATACACTGAATGATACCTATGCTATAAAACTGCTAAAGATGGAATAGTTTTAGAAAAATACATGTCATATGACCCCTTGTATTCTGATCTGCCTTCTAGAAATGGACAAAAATCTATGATCTAACCTTTTTTTTTGGGGGGGGGGTTGTTTTTGGTTTATTATTATTATTTTTTTTGTTATCAGGTACTAGATTTAAAACTGGTTCTTCATTTACAACTCTTAATAGGCAAGCTCTTTAAGCCTGTTTTTCTATTTATAATTGTTTCAACCTCACAGGACTGTTATAATTATGAGCTTCCCTGGGTTAAGTCTCAGAGGTATGATGCTATCACTGCTGTAAGTGAGTTCAAGCCCCAGCCAGGGGGCTAACCGAAATATGGCCCAGCAGATCTCTCCTATCTCACCCACTGCTTCCCTTAGCAATATATCTCAATAGATCTGCCTATTTTGCTCCTCACCCTGTCTCTGGTGAATCCTCTCACCTCCTGCATCTCTGGCCTACAACCTAGTTCTTGTATGCATAAGTAACTAAATTTTTTTTT